AGGTATCAAAATGATTCTGTTTCTGGGTGTAGCTAGCGCTCTGAATGAGCCACTTCACAACTTACTGCGTTAATGCTGCTTCTTCCTTCTGGAACACCGGGCATATCTTTATACAATATTCCTTATTGTCACCCTTGAGTTGTGTCCTCTGATAGTATGTGTGGCAAGGTTGATATGTTATTTAGGTTGGGATCTTCAGAGGCTTTCCGTCTTTTATAACCTTGCTTTACAGATTTGTTCTGAAAACTCAAAATTTGTGTCTTGGAAAATGTAAAGTTCTCAGGCCGTTATAGAGAACTTGGATTTTGTTTTTGGATATTGTAATTTGATGATTGGTTGACAGCCACGGATGTTCATGCAGAAAATAAAACTTGGAAAAGGGTTTTGAGTTATAAGTAAGGCCTTTGGATTAAAGAGACCGATTTTCTGTGAATCTGGTTGAATGGCTGGTAAGTGGAATAAGCTACCTGATATTTCTGGCAGAGCTGAACATTTTTAGAAAGGTCTCTGAACAGAGGAGTAGAGTTTTCTTTGTTTATACCTCACTGGAGTCAAAATTGCACCTTAAATTCTTAAATTCTTCATTAAAAGTTTTCTTATGGACACAGTTAGCCTTACACTACGGGACAAGCCTACTGAGGCCACCTGTGGTTACCCATAGGTAGAACTTAATTTGTTCCACTGCATGTGCCATAGCTTGCAGACAGGTTGCTGTGAAATTGAACAGCAAATAAAAAGGAGGTGTATTTGAGGTCCCTGATGCAAGATACTTCAGTGCTAATAGATAATGAACTGGCAGCTCAGAGAAGAGCAGAAACCTTCAACAGAGAGCCTGCAGAGGGAGATAAAAACTGTGCCTAGTGCTTGAGGTAAGGGGGAGGGTTGGTGACATTCCCAGCTCCTGAGAGGTGGGATTTTGAATCATTGAACACTGATGACAACTAAGACCCTATTTGGTCATCTTGCCTGCCAACGATAACGGTCTTGCCACATTCTCACAACTGAAATGCTGAAACGTTTCGAGCTGGAGTTCCTGATGGAGTTGAATTGGTGTGAAAACAGTAATGAAGAGGAGCATGATGCTGTGGTAGTCATTGGGAGGTGTCATGGTTCATAGTCTCCCAGATCATAGCCTGTCATTGATAGACAATTCTTGGCTATAACATCCTGCCATGATGACAAGTGGACAGAATGACTCCGACCTCCTCTTGATACGCAGGGATTTGCGATTTCTTGTGTTTTTTTTATTTCTTTATTCTCAACAGGATTGACATTTAACATCTTAAATCACTTCCTCACATGTGCCAAATCTCTCACTAATGATAACATTTAATGCGTATGCGTCAATCAATGAAAATTACACCTCGAACACGTAATGTACGAAAAATCTGTATACTTTATATTTCTCAAGTCATTCAGGCTTAAACTGATGTTTCTTTTGGTGCTCATGCTTACAGAAACAGACCAGTCTGATAATCAAGCACAACATTGCATTGTCCCTGTTTGCCATAAACAAATGTCAGCGCTGTTTAAACCCTGAAGTAGTAGATTAGCATAATTTAACTGAAGTCTGTTTACTAGCAGATGAGGGAAAGTCAAATTTATTTTTAACAGACATTAAAACATTCAAGGGAATAGTCCATTTGTGTTAGTACAATGTAACCAAAGTAAATCGGCCTCAGGTTTTTCTCACCATCCTGTAAGTTACTCAGTAGCAGTGTTTAATATTCAGGTATAGTACACTCATTCTGTGTAATGGCAAAATCCAACATCTTACACTGTTTGGGGTACTTATGCATAAAATGTCAATAATCAGTGGCAATATCATAAACGGAGATTTCAAAGTATACAGGTTGAGGACTGTGAGCATTTTTCTCTTCCGTTTTTACCTGTTAGTAGTTTCATAGAGCTTCAGCAGCTGAGTGTAATGATTAGCTAATTAAGAACCCTGTTAGATATAATCATAACGAACAAATGCATGTAACAGTATTTATAAAATACACATAACTAAAGGACTTGATATACCTATATATTTAGTTCCAGTTTTCTCCCATGAAGGTATAACATTCTAAATATTGCATTTAGTGTTAAGTGATATTTGGATGCAGGATAGGGTCTGATTGGCCGCGGTCTGATCGTGATGTACGTCAGAAATTGATTTTTCCCAGTTTGCATTCACCATTCGTAACTATTTAACATGAAAATGGCATTAAGTTTTATTCTTAGTTCTTCAAATGATCTCTATGCAATATATGTAAGTATGTATATCATATTCCTCATTTGATTTAGAACATTTAGTTGTAGTTACATCCTGTTCAGGTTGTTAGATCTGGTTTTTGCTTGATCCTCTCTCTCTGGGGTGTTTGGTGTCAGTGAAAGTGGCCAAACTTAAATAAAGTTTAGTAAATCAAACAGATTTTAATGTAAACAGTGTTTTTCCTTTTACTTGTGGTGGAAAAGTTATGTTTCCTCGCAACGCCATAAATCCTTCCGAGTGTCCATTTGTGGAAATCAAGAATTCATCAGAGGCGGCCGGAGGCTGCATTCCTGCAGTGTGTAATAAATGACTGTGTCAGTGAGGTGGAGGTGTACATAAAGCATGTGAATAAATGAATATAAGCCTTTGCTGGGCCTGTTGATTAATTGTAAGCAGGAAGTATCACAGTCCACAGAGGAGGGCTGTTTAAACAAGTATATTACCATTAAGCAAACAAGATGGCGGTTTTAGAGTACATAAAATTAGTATTTCTAATACATGCAGTTAACAGCAGTACAGCCTTTGGAGTGCACACTGTTCAGATCCTACCTTCGATAGTGAAGTAATACAATGAATTCTACACTAAAATTAGTTTGTCAACTTTTGATTCATTTCAATCCATGTTTTGGAGCTGTGAGAAACAAAGTTAATTAGTAATGGTTAATGCTTGTTTTATGGTTAAATTGTTTATTGTTAAAGGAATGGGGGTATTATAATAAGAATATACCCCAGGAAAAGCAACTCCCCCACACGTTCTGCTTTGCTAGATGCTGTATTCAGGGGTGGAGCAGGACATGGACATGTATGGCAGCAAGAAAAGGCCCCACTGTTGCTGGAGAAAGGAATGATGGGATTTTTAAATATATTTGCCTATGGAACTCTGACAAAACTCAGACGCTTGGCGATTCTGCAGTTGAATACCAAAAAGTTTGGAAACTTAATTACAAAGTCTGGTAGTAAAGGCAGATACGATTCCATTTGGCTAGATTTAGTAGAACCGGGAAAGGATGTTGGTAGGAACATTGTCGTCCCTTAGCTTAAAAAGTAACTGCTTGTAAATAAAATTAGTTGTCATTTCAATCTTCAGTTTGATGTTAGACCTCAGCAGTTTCCAAGTGTAATACAAGTCTGTGTGGTCTTTTCACATCTGCTGTTAAAGTAAACCTTCTAAAGGACCTTTCATGAGTTATCACAACAGTCCCAGCAGGCGAGTATAGAGAAGCAGCACAAGTGCCCTCCACTGTGATATACAGTAACATGGAAATTTATGTATTGTCAGAATGATTAGATTTTCTTAGCAAGAACCTGGCAGCTGTTAAACAGCTCTTGCTTTCAGATAGGGCACTGTCACCAGATCCAGAAGTACTAGGGTGTTTGTAAATGGTGCCAAATTGGAAGTACTCCTGGCCTTTATTTAATGTTTGTAGTGTGACATTAATTCAAAGAATTTTATATTACTTTTTGTAGCTGAACAATTCCTTCATCAAACCATTTGTGCATAGTTAGTTTTGTTCCACGTCTATCACATAAAATGGCTGAGTTTTTCAGCTGTGTAAAATAAGGCAGAAGCTGTGAAATAAATGAAAGTGGTTTCTACGCAAGTCTCCCTGTGTGTTCATGTTTCTAACCTGGGGCAAACTATTTTGAAAACAAATAAAAAAAATGTCTCTGTGTTCTTAGTTCTGACATGTCTGTTGTTGGAGGTTGAAACTTCTGGCTTCTTTTAGGCACTTCAGGGGAGTTTCAGGGAAACTGGGATTGCTTCTAAGAAAAGCATATCAGCAGTGTCAGTCTGCCTTCTTTAATATATTTGATATTTATTGTGTCCTTGAGAAAAGCCTCTGTGTTTCATTCAGCAAGAATAATTCACTCAGGATTCGAAGCTATGGAATATTGTAAGTTGTATGTAAGCAATTCCAAGATATAAAAAGTACTAGGTTTTAAATATACTAGGTTTTTTATATTTTTTAATGCATAGAATTTCATCCTTTATGTATTGCAAAGGTTCCTCCAAAGTCAGGCATACTTTCACAGTGTAGCTAATTTATTACCTTTCTGCGTAGTACTTGAAAGAAAAGCAGAAGGATTGCTGGCTTTGTCTTATAACATTTAACATTGTATCAGCAAAAACTGGGGGTCTTCGGGTATTAAATAAGGATCTTCTAGTTTCTTTTGTACTCATTGTCTCAAAAATCCTCAGAATCCATTTTCTCTCGAGCTAATATTGACTTTGAAGGGGGAAATTGTCCAATTTCTTTCCTGGGTCCCACTTCAGGGGTTTGTACTGTATATCCCACATGGAGTTTAAGGTCCTGAAATCATTCAGGAGATCTTTTTACAGACCTGAGGTCGTACTTGAGCGTGTACTGCTCTGACCCTAGACTTGGGCAGTGGCAGTCATGGTTTAAGACGTCATATACGAGATATCATCTGTAACTGGTTGCTGGGCATGTGAAATGTGCCAATGAGGCAGTGACACTCAATGCATGCATCATCCTTGCTGTGTTACCTTTTATCTCAGTTTGGTTTGTCTGGTATGATTGGTTATTAATCTTAATATTGAAACCTTTTATTTACTGGATTTCCCAGCGCATCATTTAGATACATTTCCTTTCTTAAATGTAGGTATATATAGTGCCCATTTCTTGAATTGCAAGACAGCTATTGCTAATTTTTTTCTAGGAATCTGTGTATACCGGCCAATTAATAGCTGGCTTACCTTTCTATGATTTTTGTTTTGCAGGACACATCAAGACCTGTAACCAGTCGATACAAAAGGTAAGCATTTTCATAAATGTCTCTCTCATAAATCTCTATATTTAGTTTTTGTTTACCTGTGATATTAAATTTAATAATAGACTATCATCTTTAGAGTCATTTTGCAAAGCCTGTACCGATGTCAGTTTCCTTCTTACCTACAAATTTAAGCAGCCTTTTTTTAAAAAAATTCTTCATACATCCATGACCTGACTTGATTTCCAAAGAATAACTCAGGGCAAGGCCTTTTCTGAGCTCATTGCTTTCATTGATTCTCCTGAGACTCCTTTGTGTTTGAACCAGTAAATTCCCTATTCTTTTGTCCACTTTTTTATGAAACGGCCTGTGTTACTGGTCTATACACAAAAATGGATTTCCACTTTGCGAACACATACAACAGTTTTATCTGTCTCAACTGAGATCCAAGCCAATCGATCGAATCCTTATTTTGCCGTAGTGTAAAGTCTTTGAAGTCTGAAATGCCATTTTTTCATTGAATTCATTTTTTTTCTTTTTGCACAATCAGCTTAAGAAAGTCATTTTCAGAGTGTGAAATGTTCAAGGATTCATTTTAAATTCAGAACCTGGATAGCACAGTAGTCCATTAATATTTATTGATGGACAACATGGTTTTATTTCAGCCCCTCACAAAAAATGAATATTTTTGTCAGTTTACATGGGGGGAAGAAATGGTCATCTAATACAGATGAGACACAGAAGATTTCTTATGAAAAATAGGAGCTTCTTTCTTCTGTTGTTACATTTTTTAATGACCAGAACAAGGACAAGAACTCTGTAAGAGCCCACCTCATTGTACAATATATTGCTTTTTTACGATTTACTTGGAACGTGAGAAACTGGAAGGAAGGGACCACTGGGAAGGAATCTGAAACTTACAGGATATTTAATAGAAAGGACAGCTTTAAATAAACGCTCAGAATCATAATACAGACTTCTTTATAGAAGGAATAGTGGCGTGACTCTGAGATGATTGTTTGCATTGCTGAATTTGATTTTCCTTCTTCACTTGATGAAACGTAGTATAATACAAAAAGTACCCTGGGTCCATTATTGTAGACGGCTATTTCTTTATAAATTGTAATCCTGTGCTAAAATGTAGAATTGTACATGGGAGAGTGACCTAAAGCTGTATTTCAGTTTTAAAAAATCATTTTCTTCCTTGTTGTTCAGGTAATTGCAAAAGAAAAATCATTTTACTCTTCATTGTTGTTGACAGTTTTTGCTAAGTGTTTCAAAGTCCTCTTCACCTTTATTTTTATTAATTTGGTTTTGCAGTTTTCTTGTTACACACCAACTCAATTCGGAATTGCTGATCTTTTCAAAAACTTGGCTGTTGGGCGATAACTCCTGTGCTCCATTGGGCGAGAATGAGATCCATGTCCATGTTCATGGTTCTATGATATTACCCACCTATTTAACCGTTCACAAGCTCCTCAACTGGAGGAGTGCCATGTTTCTGTGACATCACCATGAGGCTGCGTGTTCCCTCCAACTGCAGGAGCTGCTGTTGGCCGAAAGGCCAGTAGAGCCCTGGCTGACTTATCCAAATTTTACCTCGGTGGCAGTTGTAGACTTCCAGCCACAGTCGACCAGTGTCCTCTCCCTGTCTGGGCATTGGGACCTCTGGCCATAGAACCCAGCCTAAAAAAAAAGAGCATTTACCTGACATTTCTTATTTCCTTGTGCATAGAAAAAGGCTAAATTTAATATCTCGGACTTGACATCTGCTTAGCTGGGGTCAGTGTAATGTTTTATCTTCATCTGTTTTTGTTCTTTCTACCCATGACTGTTTAACTGAAACCACTCTATGTATTGGTGGGTAGAACAGCAAAGTAAAGATGCTTTGTGAGAATGTTTCTCTTATATTATGCACCACTTTAATTTGGGTGAAGCACTGGCATGTCTTTGCAACATGGCTGAAAAATTGAAATGTTTCCATTTCAGAAAATATAAACGTACTCATCAGATAGACTTGTTAGATAGTTTGTAGCTGGTAATTCCAGTAAGACTGAGGAGGTGATAACTATAAAACTTTTTTGGGGTATCTAAAAGGGTTATTTTGTGCTGTATTATGCATTTTCAAATGCTTGTGTAAATGGGTTATTGCTGTGTTGTAAGTCTTTTGTTTTGTACCATGAACAAAACAATAGGTCTTGAATTCAGTCTTTAAAGTTAGATGTGAGACACGAATGTGAATGTTTAGAAGGATGCAGATTATTTTCTTTTTCAAGGGTTCACATGGTGACCAGACCCAGAGGAGTGCTTAGAGCAACAAGTACATTATCCTTTTTCTAAGCTTGCAGGCTCTTAGGCAGACATTAAACTTGCTTTTTCAATCTGCAGTTAGTTTGCCATGTAATTTTGGGCACTACAGAATGAAAGAGATTTTATATTTGCCTGTGGGCAGGCACTGGCGGCCTTGTTAAAATTTGTATGTATCTTACAAGAAACAATATAGAAGAACACTACCTCTTCTGGTTATGGGGCATGCATATTAATTAGCTCTTGTTATATCTCAATGCTTCAGATACCTATTTATAACTTGGTCACTGGTCAAAGTTATCTGTTAATGCTGTTGGGCCCTAATAATGTTGTAAGAGCTGTCCATAGCTGCTAACCTTTATATATGCAAAATGCCCAGATTAGAAATTGTAAGACACTTCCATGTCCAAACTGTTGCAATACAGCCAGAGTTAATATTCATAGCCATAATTCACATGTATACATCGGAATGGGTTCGAGTCCTCAAGAGACTTGTTTGAAAACGTAAGCCAACATCTGTAGAAGAAAGTAGACTTTTACTTTTTATATATTAGTCAAAGAATGTTTTTGAACTTCAGCAGTGTGATGGCTGTTAGTCTTTTGAATTTAGCTGATGTTTATCCAAAACTGCTTTGCAAACTAAACAAGTGCTGAAATGTTGAATGATGCAAACTACAACGAGAAAGTTCACCATGTTTTTATCACCCAAACAATGCAAGGACCAGCAATTGTGGTGACTCTAAAGATGTCTAATGATGTCTGATGGTCTGTTCTGAGCGGCTGGGTCTTGAGCATATGCCTGTGGGTGATTAGAGATGGTGTAGTGTTCATAACATAAGGATGGTTACAAACAAGAAGAGTGCTTTTTGGCCCTTCTAGCTTGTTTGGTTTATTAGCCAGTTGACCTGAGTATCTCATTCATCTTGTATCGGCTCACTCCAGACTCCCATAGCTATTCATCTATCCATTTTCTAACTATGTTTTCCAGTTCAGGGTCACAGGGGAGCTGGAGCCTATCCTGGCAAGCATTGGGCACAAGGCAGTGCTACATCATGTTAGACAATGCTAGACACAGCCAAGACAAGTATGTCTTGAGACTGTGAGGTGAAAATCGGGGCACCCATTGAAAACCTATGCGAACACGGGGAGAATATACAAACTCCACGTAGATAGCATCCCAGGTCTGGAATTGAAACCAGGGCTATAGGCATGTGAGGCAGCTGTCAGACTTTTTTGGCTTCCTATGATTTTTCATTATACGTAGAAATATTTGGAATGCTGCGTTAAGATGCTTCATAGGTAAAAAGATAATACACAGTTAAGCGATTCTTTGCTTTTTGGTTGTAGGGTTGATTAAAAGGTCACGCACTGGTGACACCTTTTCCAACAATTCTCTGCATTACTTTTAACCACACTCCTGTATTCGAAGACCAAAAGTGCATATCCGTGTAATCAAGATAAAACTTAAGGAGCACTTTGTTGATTTCAAATTCAAATTCAAAAAGAATCTTAAAGACCTGTATGTAATTGTTTCAAAGAAATGTTGTGATACATTTACTGCAGTAGTGTATCTGAATAATATTCAGTGTTGATTAAGATGGATTTTTAAATAGAAAACAGGATTAAAAATCCTCACGGTTGTTCTTCAGATTTCCTTGAGGCTTTTGATACATTAGCCATGGCTGATACATTTCTGGCAGAGCAAGCAATGCCTAGAGTAACACCAGTCCAGTTTTTCCATTTAGGGATTACAGTAATTCACTCCCTTGTTCAGAAATGTTTGACAGATATTTGTAATGTTGAACAGTTCTGTTGTCCGATACAAAAAGAATATATCGGCACAAGGTGTATTGAAGACTGGAAGAGGATTTCAGTCAGAATTATGAACTACAGTTGTCAGAATGTGTGCTTTACAAATTTAGATATTGCCATGGTTACCAGTTTTTTTGTCAAAGACAAGGATTTCTGTAAGTCTCGAACAAAAAAGCATACCTAATTTGATGTGCTAAATATTAAACTGTTCAGTGAAATGCTTAAAGGCTGCGCTCTGTTACTGAAGAAGAAGAAAGCTCAAGCCTATTTTGATGACGCGTTTCTTGACTTTATAAAGATGAAGCTGTTAAAGATATGAACGTTTGATGTTTCTGAATAAGCTTAGAACTGTATTTCCCGTGCATTACATACTCTTAAGTGTTGACAGTAAAATGTATAAAATGACAGAACAGATTTGTTGCCTCATCTATTACTGTTGCAAGGTAATATTTCCCTGCACCTATACCACTTCACTGCTTGACAAAAATTTATAATGCATAAAAAAAGTTCCAAAGAGAATTTGAGTAATTTGGTTGCTGAGTGGCACGCAACAACATGACTTGCAATACTCTCATATACTCAATACTCTTGCAAAATGTCTCATATTATTGGGATCCTTGGATCAATTAGCCGCTAACTGCCAGACTGGCTCGATGGGCCGAATGTTCTCCTCTCGTTTGTAAGCTGTTTTGACCTCAGCATCCTATATTCGATTATGCCCTCAGCAGCCTGTGCTTGTGCATTCCTCTTGTTCACAGAAGTATGTAAGCTTCACCAGGTGCTTCATCTTCCTTCCCCCTATCAAAGACTAGCTGGAAAGGTTTATCTCTTCTGAATTGCCCTTTCTCTGTGGCTCTGTAATAGCCTGCTGTCCCCTCCAAAAGGAAAACCAATTTTCTTCCAGTTTACCTCAGCCCTCCCAAGAGTCACCAGAAGCTTACTGGGAACAGATGGAAGAACGTTTAGTCGCAGTCAAGAATAAGAACTTTTAAATATACAGTGATGTTACAGGTTGATAGTGGTTACAATGAGAATGTTGTTTAAGAGGCTAATAAACAGGATGAACTATACTGGAATAATACCAGATTATTAGATTAAGTTCTGAAAATGGCAGATTTTTGTTAGGTAAATTCAGGCAGTTGAAAAAGCAAAAACTGCATTTTCTCAATAACTTGAAATATAACTTTCTTTAAAAAATCTGCGTCTTATCAAGTATTCAATGTTTCATAAATGATATTAAAACGTATTATGTAGAATGTATTATAGAACATCATATGGACACTGGTGTTTTCTTGTGTTTAGCACACATTGACACTGGCATTCTTATGACTTTCCTTAATTATTCAATGTGTTTTCTTCTGCCTTTAAAAGTGTTAGAAGAATACAAATATTTTAAAAGTATCGGTGGAATCTTCTGTTTTAGACTAAATATAGGCCTATTTACTGTACATGGTAAACTGAATGATAGACATTTGAAGGTTGCAGCCTTCCAATTTCAAGGTAGCTTCACAACATTACAGTACGTAGTTTTACTGTACTATGAAAACCATTTCAAGTGAAGTGATATATTTATCACTACAGCACTGTTTTTAAACTGATTTTAAAGTCTTAATGTGGCCCACAGTGACAGCTGATAAACAATCAAGTAAATATGCTGCACACTGACTTTCTTTATTTTGCTCATTGTTTTGAGGACTAAGAAATTCTGGGATAAGTCATCCGGAAGTCTGAAAGAGTAATTTCCCTGAGTCAATCTCTCTTTTTCAATGAAAAATTGCAATAATATACATTGCAAAATGTTATGCTCACGCCATAGGGTGTAGTGATAAATTGAAACATTATTTATGTATTTTGCAGGTTATGGCATATTAACTTCAAGTTCTAAGTGGCGTTTCTATACAAACAAATTCAGTGAAACAGCCTGACCTCTTTTGTTGCCTTGTCTCAATAGCTTCCAGATATATATTTGGACAGAAAACCCCGAAAATTGGGTACATAAAATCGTATTAAATTGATAAGACCCTGTAGTTTGTTGGACATAACCTATTTCAAGTAAGTGATCTCATTAGGAAGGTAATTTATTTAATCTTTCCTAATGTTCCATATAATGTACCTGGAGGGTTTAATATAACCCAACTATAAGGTCTCCCATTTCCTACACTTTGCCAGCTTCCCCATCCCTTTCAGTGAACCCATCAGCACAGGTATTATGTGTGAAACCTCTTTAAAGATTTGACAATTTTTTTCTCTGGTAGCTTTTGGTTGCTTGTTGGCTTGAAGGTTTCTGTCTTAGCTCTCTTCCTGTTCACACCATCGTATTCATTGCAGAAGGCTGGTTCAGAAAGCACAGGGTCAAAATGTTTTATGAAAGAGTGCCATGTAAGGGCACTACTGTGTTCTGCCTTAAAGGGTAGAATAAAAACTTCTCCTCTCTGGTGCTGCGTTCTAAGAAGGTATTGTAATTTTGTAAATAGAGAATGATATATAGTAAGAGCCAAAACTGACTTATTTGTAAGAAACATATGTATGCCTGCTTTTGAAATGTGGGTTTTTAATAGAATATTTTATTTCCCTTGAGATCAGATGTATGGAAACTAAACTGTTGTTCTCGCTTAGTCACATACTCTGTTTAAAGGCAATATTCAGTATGAGTGTCTTTTGTGTATTTAGTAATGATTTGATATCATGTTAGCATATGATGTATTTATGCCATTTCTGGATTAAAATATGCAAACTGTGTGGATAAGAGTATGCTATCTAGGGGATGTGTTTATGAAAAGGAAATGCAGCAAAGTGAAATTAATATGACATAGTGTTTTCTTCTTAAATAAAAAGTGGTCAGTTTTTAAGAATAAAGCTTAAAACAAAAGTAGAACTTAAGAGGAAATGGCACAGAGCATCTAAAACGTCTTGTAATCAATGAAAATAAATACGGATACTTTTAGCAAATCTGGCCTTTTTAACTAGGTCAAGCTAAAGGATGATTCTCAATGAGATTGAATCTACTTGATTTTTTTTCGAGTAATACAGAATGTGTTCCCTTTGAGCTCCCACCACGTTGATGTTGGTTTGTGATTGGATCCATTCTCTTTAGTTCTGCAGGCCCTGCTTCTGAAGAGGAGGTCCCCGGGAACAGATATTCTGCCCGAACGGATCGTTCAGGATACAGCCGCCACAACAGAGAGGCTAATCCTGCAGGGTCTGGAGCCCTGGAAAGGAGACTAGAAGAGCTGGAAAGGGTAAGGTCATGCAAAAACTTAATCTTGGAAGTTCGATCAGCATGTTTTATTAGCAGTATTTCAGAGAGATCCTGGGTCAGTTCTTCCATTTTTGTGATGATGTTACAGATTCATCCATTATGTGACTGACACTTTTCCTACTGATTGTTGCAGCAAACTGTAGCTTCTCCATAGGAGTTGCATGGATAAGATGGATAGAGTGAGAGAGTGACTAAAACACAAAGCTGCATTCCCCCTTGATGAACTGCCCATCCAAATCAGTCTGGCATTTCCTTGGGGTCTGGAAGGAAATGAGTAAATAGTATCAAAACTGAGGTACCAGAAGAAAACATTTTCAAACCTAAAAGGTCAAACTAACTGCAGTGTCACACTATACATCCACTCTGCACAAGGTTCATATCTCATGATGACTCATGATTTTGAAAAAGACAGACTGGTAGTTCAGTTACATTCTTGGTTGCTAGGTGGACATGTTCAGACAACATTGTCTGCCTTGCTTAGACTTACAATAGAGTATTGTTACTTACAATTGAGTATTGTTAACGAAATCTTGTGTTATTATCTCACAATGCACTAGTAAGACCTCATTTAGAATATTGTATACTCTTTTGGTAGCCACATTGCAAAAAAGGTACCACAGTTCTAGAAAACAGTCCAGCTAAAGAGTGACCAGCAAAATTCTTGGGTCTTAAAGGAGTGCTCTACTATTACACAACATAAGAAGTGTGTTTTTTAATCTTGAACAGAGAAGGCTATGGGGGGACCTGCTTAAAGTATTTAAAATTTTCCAAAGACATTAATACAACACAATGGACATTTTGGAAACTAAACACCGATGGAAACTAAAACTGAGAACAGGACGCGCAGGGGTGTAGGTGTCTAGTACAAGCACAGCCTTTTTGTTCAAGCTAATGCACTGTCTTCTCTCAAGAATGGGCAGGATGTGTTACTCATAACAAAATGAGCTAGGTGAGCTAGGTTAAATGGCCTCTTGGTACCTTTCTTATGTTCTATTTTTTTTGTTAATGGGTAATATTGAAAACACCTTACAAAAAACTTCCCCCTAATTAACGTTTGTATTTATTTATATAAACATTAACTTCATATCATCATAGAGAACATACTAGTTTCTGTATATATTAATAATAATTCACTGAATAATAGTGTTTTAAATATGTTTAACCTTGCAGGTCAACAGATATCAGTATTTTTCTTTACTATTCAGTTATGGCCTGTTTAATGTTTTAATTTTTGTTTGGTTTAACATGTCAGCATACAGTATGTGCCCAGAGTAACCTTACATAGACCAAACAAAAGGGCAGATACTTTAAGTGTTGTGTTAAAAGATGGTGACTGCTTCTGGCTCCCTAGAATTTGAAAAAATGTATTTTTTCTGTCTTGTTCCAGTATTTACAAACTTGGCTTACTCTGAGTATTGAAGTTCTCATAAATTTGCTGGATGTGAGTGCATTAGCTGACCCTGGTTGTCAGTCTGTTCCCATAAGATGCTTCCCTTGTTCAGTTCAGCTCGAGGAACAGGAGTTTTGGAACAGATTTAAGTTTTAAGGAGGCTACTGTCCTTGAACTTTTTCAAGTAAATTTTATCAGCAGCTGGTGTTTTCTTTAATTTTTTATTATGGTTTCTCTGATATACTGCCCTGAAAAACAAGTCTCTGCTATTTGGTTTTCTAAATAAAAAGGAATCTCCTCTAGGCAATAATAATGATTCTGTTTACTGTGAGATGACCTTTCCAGTTCAAAGACATTCCTCTTTCCTATGTGGTTATGAAAAACCTCCATTACAGCTGCAGTGCTCCTTAATCCTTTCTCTACTGCTGAACTAGTAGTTACACATTAACCGACACAAAGAGAATAAATTATGATAAGTTTTCTTATTTGACCAACAGTGATCTTTCAGACCACTGGATGACTAGATAATACATTCTCCACTTCATTCTACAATGGAATCATTTGCATAAATGGTGACTATTTGTAAATGAGAATAGGTTTTCTGGCTATGTAATAAAAATAAAATAAATATCTACTAAACCCTCAGATTCCTCGTTTGTTTTCATACTTGCACACATTTTAATGTTCTGAACTCAGTCATGAATGTTTGGGAGCAATGCAATTAAAAAGACAGAGCAGAAATGATCCTCGAGAGGTGTATGGGATGTCTTTCACTTACATGCTACTTCAAATGTACTTTTTTTAAAAAGTAGATTCAGATTCCTATTTGCAAATTACAAACCGTTGAGTTATAGAATGTGGAAGCTCTTACAGTAGACTCAGAATTTGAAAATTATTATATATTATTCTGCTTTAAGCTTTAATACTGTACATTTATGACACTTTTACCCTTTTATGTTTTGTGAACATATTGAACGGATCATGTCTTAAAATCACAAAATGTTTGGAGGTTTTTGACCAAAGTAGCCACAAGCATTTAATTTAGCAGGGGTCTTGAACAGCACAGGTCTTAGCAAACTGAAATCGGTCTGCCAGTTATTATTTTAGGAATTTGCTTTTAACTGCATTAAAGTATAGAATAGTGTATTGGAATTAGTCATATAGATGAAAACAGGAGAGCTACAAATAGGCCAGGTACAGTACAAAAAGAGTGCTGATGTTTCTGGCTGTCGAGACTGAGTTGGATAATCTCAAGAGTCAGTGTAAAACTTGTGAATCTTCTCATCCAGTACTAAAAGCCGACCATCATGACCTGCATTCTGTTGCAATTTATTTTCATAATCTGAAATGCAGGGGTTCAACCGGTCTGCACCCTTTAATAAATCATTACCGCCTCTGACTAATGTGCTGGCAATTAGACTGGAAGGGTTAAAATAGATCATTACTGGACAAATAATGTTGCAGCTGAGAGGGCACCACATGTTCCAGAATGTTAGCCAGAAAACAACAGCTTGGAATTATGTCCCTAATTGTTAACAATGTCATGGTGTAAAGTGAGTCTCTTCAGTCATGGACTACCTGTAGCCAGCTTCAGTTTCTAGTCCACAGCCCACATGCCTGCTGTATTTTACATTTTAGCAAAAAATAAGTTATCGTGTGTGTGTGTGGGGTGCAATAATAGATTAAAAACAAGATCCTTAGTATAATTTAGATCAGTAGGATGGTCTGAGAATTCAAAAATGGATCTACTTTTTAAAAAGCGATCAGTAATTACTTCAAGTTGACTTTGGATTCTGTTTTGAAACAGAATGACAAGTAAAATGAGTGAAAAGCACAAATAACCTGAGCGATCCCCTCCTACATCGTTAAAATGAAATACGATGTGGTAACAGTTGTGATGATAGATTAGTCTAGATAGAGATTGACTTTTAGGAATGAGAAAGAGTCAACCCAGCAGGAAGAACAAATGTGATATAATGAAGCATTCCTGTGGCAAGATGCTGATCTTTCTTGATTTTAAGTGGAAAGTTCTGTCATTGCCCAACTTCTGAGTTTTTTGTCTTGGAGAACACTTTCTGGGGAGCCAGGAGAAATTGTTGATTCTATTTCAGAATTTTAGCATGTTAAAATACATCTTTTTAAGTAAATTTCTCTAGCCCAATTTCTGTAGCCCAAGATGTCTGCAGCAGAATGGGGAGCCAGATGATGAGCCAATTTTAGTTTTTATTACAACTCTCTTTTATAACCTGTATCATTGGTAATAATTTTGCATAATTTCAGATTAGGTATTTTCCCTCTCAATATGTTATATTATCCAAAACGTTTCACATCACTTCCACATTGCTTTTTATTGAGTTAATAATAGTTTATTCTGGTATGAAGAAGGAAAATAGTATTCTAGTGTCTTTCATTTGTATTTTTTTCTGCATATGTGCCTTCCTCCATGTTCAAAATTATAGATGATGTCTTGTCATAGAAACCTTGACTGAAAACAGTGGCAAGAAGCCACTGAAAAGATCCTTTTGAACCTAATTTGTTTTATTTTCAGTGGTACTAATAATATAACAGGGTTCAGTCCCTTGCTTTTGCAGTGCTCTTGTTAAGTATTCTTCAGATTAATTGATTTTGTTTTGTATTTTCAGGAACTTGCCAAGGAGAGGCAGGAAAATGTACGACTATTGAAAATCCAACAAGACAAGGATGAAATGATTGGAAAGCTGAGGGAAGAAATTGACCTGCTAAATAGGGTGAGTGTGTTGCAAATGTGACCTTCAGCTGATTCTTAAAGCAGAACACTGGGATGAGATGCACATAATCATAAATTGCATGGCTGCTTTATATAGGTAGTGGACATAAAAATGGAAACACCTGGGTAACTAAAAGGCACTTCCTTCAGGTAGAATAGAATACTTAAAGTTGCAAGAAAATGTTTGTGAGCCCTTTGTAATTACCTGGATTTCTCCATTAATTACTCATAAACATGTGGTCTGATCTTCAACTAAGTCACAATAATAGACAAACACAATCTTCTTAAACTAATAACACACCAACAATTGTACTTCCTCTTGTCAGTACTAGAATACAATGGCTTCCACAGAAGGTTTGGCAGAAGCTTATCCCAGCATGCCTACAGTCATATATAAAAATGCTGGATTGGCCCAGTTGCCTATAATTCTGGTTAGTATGGCTCAACAGGGAGACCTAGTGATGATGAAAGAGGGGTGACAGCTCAACATGCTGATGTTTCAAAAGCAGGTGTATCTGAGGTACTGTCAATTTAGCAGAAAAATATCAGAAAGAAGGAGCAGGTGGTGGAAGCTCACAAGCCAGGTCAGTGATATATGTACAAAACAGGCAAGCCATTGCTGAAAGCCTGACTGGAACTCTGCCAGGAACTCCGGAGAGCAGGATACTGTAGTTGGGTTGCAGAGTGGTTTGTGCACATAGGTCCCAGCAAAGCACATCTACAAGTCTGATGGAGCACAGAGCACAGGCAGTGGACAACCAAGCAGTGGAGAAATGGGGTACGGTCAGATGAATCATCCTTCTGCGTTTTCTTGACAAACTGAGGAGTACACCAACCAAGAGAGCTTCACAGCCCTAAGTGCTTGGTTCCAAGAGTGAAAGGTTTTGGTGGTTCTGTAATGTTGTGGGATGTATGTTCCTGCCATGGTTTGGTTGCACTAATTTCCTTGCAAGACAAGGTCAACACTATTTGCTACATAGTGATGCTGAACAATTGTCTTGCAGCAGGTTGCAGTATTTCTTTCCTGCTGGGTGTGTATCTTCCACGATGGCAAGCTCACATCCACAGAGCGCGTGTGTTCGTCCAGTGGTTTGACGACTTGACACTGATGACATCGTTTCCATTTTTTGGTCTAGTACACATAATTGACGGGCAGCAAAAAAAAAATAAGTTTAGTGTTAAAATAAAACAGTAATGTTGAGATGTGTAAGCATCACAACACTCAACACAAAATGGAGTAGCATAACACCTGGTCTTGTGCAGTTTACAGGGCCTGATGGAGAAGCTGATGTTTGTAGTGCAGAAGTCACTAGACTTCTCACTAAATTTGAATGATTCCATGTTTCAGGGTTTTCATTTTAAAGTGATGGGAGTCTGTAATAGATTCCATCTCTGGCTATTTCTGCTTATGAACTTCAAGCATCTACCAAAATGAATGCAGCCATTTTTAATGTTTGCTTCTTTGTTTTAAATGTTTCCATTCCTTTTGCCTTTTCTTATGCCGAATTTGTTTATGAGGAAGATTTTAGAGGACAACCACAAGTTAGCAGGAGAGTTTCACTTATTTTCAGAGTTCAAAATATTTGAAGTCTACTAGCATTATTAATCAATATATAAAGTTAATTTGATTCAGAGCAGTTTCTTAATCCTCCACATTACTAGATAAAATAAATCCTCAAGGCACAAACTAGCCACCTGTTATCAGTCTAGTATTTGAAATATTAAAAATCAATTTAAGTTCTACAGGTTTGTCAATCAATAAGTGTGAAGACTTAAGCCATTTGCAGTGCGTTGAATGGTCTTAAGACATTTAGGTGAGAAGATGTTTTTTAGAAGGATTGTGGAAAGGTCAGTTTTTGAACATTCCTTTTAATATTATTCATTGTGATCAATGTTAAATGTATCACTCATTTTAAAGTTTAATCACAGTTGGTGAAAACTTCATTCCTTTGCTCAACTTTGTTTTATCTCAAGTAACCATGTGTTGGAGAAGACAGTGGATGAAAGGAGAGTTCAGCATTAGTACCTGTCAACATTGTTAATGAAACAGGGAGAATTGGTGTGTGACAAAACACAGCAGGCAGTCACCAGAATTAAAATTATCTCAATCATAACAGAGATTAATTGACTTCCTCCTCTGTCAGACCATACAAAGAATCCCAGAATCCTTAGAGAAATAAGGCTTTGTGATGTGTTCTAAATAAAAACAACAAATTGAATTAATCTCCATTAGAATCCGAATTTTCTTTTAGTGCATTACCCTTCTGTAGATCGAAAAAAAGTCTTTTTCAGCAGGAAAACATCAGAAACTTTGTAAAAGCAGGTGAAAGCAAAAAGATGTGTATTGATTTATTTAATTTACTTTTAGCTTGTCAGTGTTAATTAATTATAAAGAAAATAGGGACTGCAAATTGGGTCTTTTGTCTATCGTGAAGTAAAAAGGTTAAATGGAAGGCTGGTAAATTGCTTCCCTTTCTGTGCTTTACAGTAATCAGCTTTGTATTGTGCTCATACATCTTAGATAAGCACACAATGATAATTACTAGCTATTTAAGTATTTTCCTAGAGACCAAAGGCTTTCCTGTGTTTAGGGTTCTTTTGATAAGAGTTTGCACTCTTTTACATTTTCTTTGGATGAATTAAATTTCAGATGCTATTTGGTCAGCAAAGTAGATCACAGGAAGGTCTTTACTTCACCACAGCTGCAGTTATATGTTCTGCTTCCACATGCCTTTCGCTTCCTCAAGTTGTGGCGCGCGTTCTGAACTTTTAGTCAAATTCATTTGTGAGGTTTGTTCCCATGATCCCAGTAACGGATGAGAAAATAAAATCAAAGCTCTCCTGGGCTGTCAAGTGAAGTCTATAAACTTAAGACTTCACTCAAAACAGCTGCTTCATTTAAGCATTGCACTCACAACAGTTCTGTGGTCTGATGGCGTTTTGATTTTTTTTTTTCAGTTTTTATGAAGTATGGAATATTAAACTTCATTATCATGAGGGTTTAGTCAGTCATATTCATTCTGGGTAAATTCATCTCTTGGGTTCTGTCAAGGCATTAAGGCTTCTTGTGATTGAAATGTAACTGATTGCAACTATACTTTTGTTACCCCTACTGTATATCAAATTACAGTAGCAAAATTCAGTTCAGATACTGTATCTAAATGACAAGATTATATCTTTAGGAAATGTCAGCCAGAAAGAACTATTAGGTCTATGTTTGTGCTTCTCTTGAATGTTTGTTTAGTGTTTCCATATGAGAATAGCACATATGGAAATTACAAAAATAATCAGATTTGAAATAAACAGAAAATTTTTTACATTCTTTTCCTAAATCAAAATAAGTCCAGTTGCATTCTTCAAACAAAATTCTCATAAAATTAGAAATATTCTCCCATGAAATATAGTATTCAAACATTTTACCATAATTGCTGGTTTTCTAAAAAAAAAGTCTAATGGAATTCTGTGAGCCTGTTTAAAAGAAAGCTGTGGTATAATTTAATGCCTAATGTGTTGCACTGTACATTTTGAAATATTCAGTATCATTTTACTCATGTATGAATGTGTTGCATTGATTTATTAGGTACCAGGCTACATGTAAGATAAGATCACTTAATTGGCCATATACAATTTCTTGTATTAGGAATTTGTCTTTTTGCATTCCCCAACTTGCTCTCAGTTAGATACACAGACAGGGAGAGAACCTTGGGGTCAGAGCGCAGGGTCAGCCATTTATATGGCGCCCCTGGAGCAGTTGGGGTTAAGGGCCTTGCTCGGTGACCAAACGGAGTAGGATCCCTCTGCCGGCAGCGAAGAGCACATTCGGGATACGAACCTGCAACCTTCCAGCCACAGGCGCAGATCCTTAGCTTATCTGGTAAATCTGCAATAGCACTCACACAAATACTTAGCTACCTTCTATTGCACTTGTTAAACAGGGCTGTGTTGATGGATTATCCCCAGAAACTTGCATATTAATGACATTTAATGTGTAAAAAAAAACAATTAAATGTTGCTTTAATTCTTAAAGTTGCATGAAGGTAACTACTTGCTTGTTAATTCATTCTGTCATTCCTGTAATTCAGTGTTTCAAAAAGTGTGGAAATTTCCTGTGCTGGATTCTATCCTGTATTAAGAAAGTATTACAATAAATAACAGAATACAGGAAATGTAGTGCATATCTACATTCTCCGAAAAAATTCAGAAACAATCCACCATTTCTAAAGCACACACGTACTGCAATTAAAGACATTCATTCATTTCCCCTCTAATCTAAACTCTTAGATCAGGCACAGGGAGAATCCAGAAACTGCTATAAACCCTTTCAGTAGATTTTACTGAAACGTGTCCAGCATCTTCATCTGAAGTTAATTTTGCTTCAGAGCTAAGCAATTCAAAAACTACTAATGGTATAAGGCTTTTCAAACACTAATTCACACAGTAAAGCATTAATTCTGCTTTGCATGGATATTAAATATGCTTGATGTCTTTAATAAGGGTGTTGCAAAAAGTGGGATGTAGACAACTAAAATGTCACCAAAATTAAATGTGTAGAATGAATGAAGTTTAAAAGAGCTTTAGTGGAGTGTAGTATTCAAGAATTCAGAATGTGGTGCTCTGCAGATTCAGACATTGGTGCCAGAGTCATGGAGAGTCCTAAAAGTTGAAGTTTACCTAAAATGGCCTTTGGAAGTCTATAAAAAGAGCGTTACTGTAATCCATCTAATGAAAGTGTGAAAAAAAAGTTTCAGCTGCATCTGTGTAAGAGAAATCTGTTAATGAGGTAGAAAAAAAGTCCCTGAGATCAGATGTGTACTTCAAAGTACAATTCCCGTTCAAAGATGTCACCTAGATCTGTAATCAATCATTTACTGATATCCAGGCAAGAACAGAAGATCACAGCTTTGTGACCAATAGATTTTAAAGGTTTTCAAGATCACAAAAACTTCTGAGCTGTTCACATTTAGCTGTAAGAAATTGTATCTCATCCAATTCTGAAACATC